TTACTACTAGGAGCAAGGACGCTACTAGGGGCTCCTGGCATCGCTACAAGGAGCATTCTTATCACTAGTAGCAACAATCATAAAGAATTGCTACTAAGGAGTTGCCAGAAGGCGGACACAGTACTTGCCAGAACGCAAACACGCTAGTCCAGACCGAGCGGACACACTTAAAAGTATTGAGAACCCCAACAAGAAAATGCTTGGGAATGACCTTCCAAGCTGAAATTGCTGTAATTGCTGCGCTGGTGCAAGCCCTTCTTTGTTTGGAAGTTAATATTCCAACTAGGTGGTTAAGGCTCACCGTCATGCGAACAGAGGCCTCAGCCCTGGGGCCGGAACGAGCAAACAAAAACAATTTGTCAACTGCATCAGGCAAGCCCCAATATGGCAAACACTTGCTCCGGAACTGAAAAGTCCGTGGAGCCTGTTCTTAATCTTTCCTGTAGGCTAGAACTTTATGCAGACCCCACCCTTCGTCCCGGCATGTAGCCCCAGGTTTTCTTGCTGATTTGAACCTGGTTTCAAAGCCAAAAGTCTCAGCAACTTTCGCATGGTGTACCCATCCCAACATTGAAACGTCTGCCTCCACAGCTCTTACAACGTTCGGGGTCGAAGGCGATCGTGCCTTGAGCAGAGCTGCCACTTGTTTCAATTTGAGGCAGACTGGACACTGGACGAGCCCCAGGCAAAGAGCAACATGGATGGAACCAAATCGCCTTTGGTTGCTGATGCTTCTCCTGGAATTCGTGCCACAAATTTCACACATGCGCTTTAGCATCATTCCTTTGATTCTGATGAATACAGTTTTTTGCGCAAACGTCTCCTGCGCCTTCAAATGCAAGATCCTCCGCAACGGCCAGTTGTTTGCCCAGGGGCCGCATTGCCTCACAGAATGTGGCAAAAGCAGAAAGCTACTCTTTAGAAGTATCTTTAATACTTATATATGTTACAAGCAGGTGTCCTCTGCTTTACACTTCAGGCAAATCCTTGCTGCTCTCCCGGCGCAATATCTCAGCCTGCTGGACTCTGTCAACGGCGGATCTATTGGAAAGCACCTCAGCTGCGGAGCATGACGTTCTTGGCGCGGGCGTAAGCAGAAGGAAAAGATCCATCTGACGATCGGATTTCGTTCCTGTCCATCGCATTGAGTTGCAGACTGCCATGTGAACTTGTGCTTCTGCAAGCAAGGCAGTCAGTTCCTGTCACTTGCCAGAGAGCCTATATACTGCATATACAAGAAAGGTGCTTGTCTGAACCAGCTTTCTAACACACTTTAGACATGGCGCAGGCTTTGACAGGCCTCAGTATCGTACACTGACACATCTGCCTAAGTGCAATTTCACATGTTGTGCTCATGGTGCAAGTCAGAAACTGAACCTTAGGAATTATAAGCCTTATACGACGTGGAAACCACATCTCAACGTTTTTTCTCAGGGCGGGACCGGAGCTGCAGTGGCGCCAGCTCGGCCTTGGTGGGACTGAGTTGCAAGACTTCGTTGTCCTCCTTTGTTTCTTTGACATCCTGCAACTCATTAGTCATCAGGAATGTTTGAATGTTATTGAGCGCTGCATTGAGCCGTGGCAGTCATCTGGCCACAATGATTCTTGCGCAAGCTCTTCAGATACACAGTTGGTGTTCGGGGACGCTCGATATCTTGCCTTCCTTCAAATAGTCTTGCCAAAGGTTCAGGAATCAGGGGTGATAAGATGAGCGGATGGACCGTGCTGCATCTCCACACCAAAAACGGGAACTGCTTTCTCTGCACGCTTGCACTCGCAAAGAGATCCACACATAGCATCAACTTTGACGAGAATACGGTTGGAGTCTTGGAGGTGCAAGGTGCAAGAATGAAGGCACAATTGCACGCAACAATTGCTTTGTTTTGAAAAGTAATATAAAATATAGCAATATTTGCTTTGCTGTGCTTGGAATGATGTCGTACTCTTTCTGTAGCTTTGGTTTCATTGTGATTGCTCTGAATAGGAGTTTAAAGAGCCTGCACTCGTCAGTGTGTCACAAGGACCCAAAAAAGAGTTGGCATCTGTTAGGCCCTCTGTAGGTCACTTTGCTTAGGCATGCTGATGCTAAAACCCATATGCCAATATCCTAATTCCCCAAAAACAACTTGAGAAAAGGGAAGGTGCACCGGGGCCAAAAACAACTTGAGAAAAGGGAAGGTGCACCGGGGGAAATCACAAGGCACGTACACTTGCATCAAAAGAAGTTTGTTGATCCGATGACTTGGACGACGCGGGGGTGTCTGTATTGACATGTCAATGCCCAGCGGGGGGTTAGGAGTGAACTATCAGTTCCAAGCGGTTTGGTTTAAACGGCGGTTGGTGTAAGCCGTGGTGTTTGGTGTAAACGGCGGTTCGCGCAAACGGTGGTTTGGTGTAAACGGTGAGTGGTTGGAGTAAAACGTGGTGTGGTGCACGCGGTGGTTGGTGTAAACCGTGGCTTGGTGTCAACAGCGGTTCGTGTAATACATGGCTTGGCGTCAACGGTGGTTGGTGTAAGCCGTGCAAGGGCGTAAACGTTGGTTGGTGTAGAACGTGGTTTGGTGTAAACGGTGGTTGGTGTAAAACGTGGTTTCAGATCTACATCCCATGCGCTGCACCAGCAAATCCAGATCCGAGCAGTAGCAGTGGACGCGCTGCGCTTATGCAGATCTGAGCCGTTGATCCGAGAATTTGTTAACTCACGGTCCGACGTTCTCGCAGACCAAATGACCCGCTCCAAATAAGATCCACTTCGGGACAAAGGGGTGGGGCAGTCTGTATTGAAAAATAAATTTCAAGGGGAGGGGTTGGATTGAAAAATCAATTCCAAGGGGGTGGGGGGGGTTGAATTGAACTACGGTATCAATTATTATTCGGCTGCATCAGTTACACTTGACTTGATACATGACGAATCAGATTCGGACTGGATTCTTTTTCGCACAAGCTTGAGAGTCTTTGTTCAAAAGTGCTTTGGTTAATGTGACAGCAGCCCACGCTGCGTGCACCCTGGTGCATACCTCTGCCAGGTATTCGTTCCCTACCTGTACCTGGTAGACTCCTTAAAAACCTATGACTATGGTGGAGTGGAAACGACAAAATGATGCGCAGTAACCCAAAGAGGTCCAACTCTTGTACTGCAAAATTGATCAAACGCAGTGGCAGTGACCTACCATTGCTCCGCAATGTCACTGACGAAGGGTATCTGGACTCATGACTAGAGTGTTTAGCCAAGCCGACAGCTGCAAAAACAGTGGCCTCGTGCAGACAGCAGCCATCATGGACAGTCAAAAATTGTGGCTGGAAAATGGACATGGACGCAGTGGTATCCTGCAGACAGCACCACTCCATTTGCTCATTGCCAGAGCATTTAGCCAAGCCGACAGCTGCAAATCATCTGGCGGCCAGGAGGGTCAGGCATCAAATTGCAACGGAAAATTTGGTGGACCTGAACTGTGGTACTCGGCCGGCAGCTACCACTCAAGGTCGCTGGCGACGAAATGAGTGTTTGCTCAAAACTCACTGGACTGGAATCGTGCTGGTCGGTATTGGATAAAACGCGACATCGTCAAAAATTGCAGTAACCCGTGGCCACCTGCAGACTGCTGCCACTAACAAGGCCTCACCGTGGGGGACACCGCACAGGCCAAAATACACCACTCAGATGCACCGCAAACGTGGACACTCGGGCCGACATGGTCCTGCAACCACTCGTACCGAGCACAGGGTGTGGTGCGTGGGACAGAAAATCCGAAGAATCAGTGGCACTGATTCTTATGGAGCGACGCTCCTTTTTGGCTTGAGCCCCAAGCTGTGAAAGGAGTGAGTGAACTGAATGACATCAAATAATTCCTCATCACCGACCCTGCCTACCTTTAATGAATGAATATATTCGGCTGCATCAGTTACACTTGACTTGATACATGACGAATCAGATTCGGACTGGATTCTTTTTCGCACAAGCTTGAGAGTCTTTGTTCAAAAGTGCTTTGGTTAATGTGACCCCAGTCACAGCAGCCCACGCTGCGTGCACCCCTGGTGCATACCTCTGCCAGGTATTCGTTCCCAATGATCCCAATGCATTCAACCATACCCAAAGCACTCAGAAGAACTGGAAGACACGACTTATAAGGGTATAAGGTAGGCGGAGTAGGAGAAGAGGTACTGGAACGCGATGTACACGAAATCCATGAGCCTGATACCATTCGTCGTAAATTCCTTTCCTGCTAATACCATCGGACCAATTATCAACGGATTGGACCCATTGGAAGTAGCAACCACTGCGTAGTGAATACAACAAAGCATGAATACATCCCGCCATGGCATCCAGCTCGGGGTTGTCACTCCTGCCCTTGACCAAGGCCATCAGCGCCGCAATGTTGTCCACAAACCACAGCCTCTGACAGGAGCGGGCCTGACTGGCCACGAAGATGAAGCCGACGTAGACTGTGAGCAGCTCCAACTGGGCGATCTTAGTGGAGTGGTGAAACCAGAGGGTGAAGAGCTCCGCCGTGATGTCAACTACATAGGCATCTCGTTCACCGCGAGGTCCAATGAACAACAGGCCCGCTGAACCTTGCCGAGGTTCATCTTGGGCCGCATCAGACGCCGCCAGATAACGTTGTTGGCTGCCGGGTTGAAGTGGTAACTCTCGCTCAGGTTTCAAGGCGAGGAGGGATTTGATGGTCACAAACGAACGGGATAGGTCCTCAGTCAGAGCTATGTCATGGGAATACTGGCGTTCCTTCAACGGACTCAACCCTGATCTCCCAAGCAGCTTACCAAAACATCCAGCGTTGAGGAAGCCCAGGCAACCGAACAGCTTGGCAGCGAGTCCTGGCGGGAGACGTTGGGTTTGAACAGCTTCATCCATGAGGTCCGTGACCTTAGTGAGCAAACGGTCGCGCGGCCAAAAGCGGACAGATTGACCATGGTGACATTGACCAACATCATGCACAAGGCCCAGAAAGTCAGACTGACTCTGCATAGCCTGATGTTTCTCTGGCTGGAACGGTGATCCCATTTCTGTGGCCAGACTAGTGATAAACTGTTGGGCTGATCCTTTCATACTCCCAAGGTCTTGAACAGTCAGGTCATCGAAGTACATGCTAGCCAGACAATAACCCATGCGACGACAAACCGCCTGAAAGAATCGAGGGAACCGGTTGAATGAGCAAACAGCGTTGGGCAGCCCAAAAAGTGAACCATAGTATCGACGAAAACGAGGTTCCCGCACATAGTGGTCGTAGTAGGCGACGATAGCAAGATCCGAATGTTCTGGGAGCATGGGCACGCGCCGGTACGCATTGGGAAGATCTTCGCCTCCTGAACAAATGCCCTCGGCAAGCAATGTCTCTGCGTCCGGCGCGGGGCGGACTGCCCGCCAGAGTAGCTGCACATGAAGTCCCGGCTGGATGCTGGTGCGCAAGTCCAACTTGTTCGAATCGTGGCTCAGCTCACTCTGGCCGCCATCGGCTGCATCGTCGATGACCCGCAACTTGCCACTGGGTTGCTTGATGCAGAAGCGGCGGATGAGGCGAAAGTGGTGTACTTGGCGACAAAGCTGTACCCAGGACATGGCTGGTCCGCAAAAACCAAGGGCCTCGTCATCCAACCCGGCCCGGACAATAGCTTCATCATGCTCACAGGACTTTAACGTGCCGATAAGTCGCTCGGCGTCCTGCCAAGCACCAAGCACGACATCCTCAGAGGTGAGATACTCCGCTGGCTGAGCCTTGTAAACAGGCACATGAGGAGAAAACCCAACTGCAGGGAACCCAAAATCAAACACTCCATGAATGTAGGGTCCGGCCAGCCGATGAACAACCAACAACCCAATCAATGCGATGTGACGACCTTTGGTAACCAAGGCGGGGCCATGTGGTTGAAACTGGCGCATCCAATCCGTGATGGGCCATGTGCGCCTGGCCAGCTCGTGGATCCAGCGTGTCATGCGCTGCCTGGCAACTCGTAGGGAGGCACCCAACTGCTGGTACTGGTCTGCGGCAAAGATGAGATCATCATCAACAATACCCATTGATTCGAAATGGGTAGGTCTGGTCTTGAGGTCCATTGCGAGCTCAAAGTGGCGCATGGCTTTCGCAGCAGCCGCTGCGCCCGCCTGTTGAAAGCCATGGAGGGAGATGGCTGCACGTTCAATAGGCCCCACCAAGGATGGGCCAAACGCTTGGCCGCGCCAATCCTCCCGGGTCTGCATGGTAGTCAACCACCCGAAGTGGGAGTCGTCGACCAACAGGTCCTCGATCATGGGCCATTGAAATCCGGACCAATGTATGTGAGGGCATAGGGCCATCATAGCTGCCATCACGGTCTCCTGGGAAAACCTGACTGGAACAGCCCGGACTGGGCGAAGGCCCGCGGCCAACAAGGCCACCTTGCACACACCCTGCTGGCGGCGACGCCGCGGAAGCGTGGATCGTGAGGTCGTAGATGAAGGCACGAAGTATGTCG